TGGGGCCACACTTAGATATGGATGAAGGAAATGTCTTTGTCAGAGGGGATTCAATGAGGCTAAAGTTGCCCATGGCAGTCTCCCTTTCAAAGAATTGTAATTCAGCAAGTAAGAAAATGTAGCTTTCATAAAAGTAAGAAAATGCCAGAGGACTTATATAAGAGACTGCCTGAATTTCCCTTTGTGTCAGTGAATATTTGGTGAGAACCCCTCCATTTCACTGCAACCACCCAGGCATTTATTTGGTCTGGGGAGGAAACAAAGCAACTAAGGGAAGACCTGATTTTGCAGTGAAGGGGATAAGAGAAGGACACAGGTGTGAAGGTCCAGAGTGCCCAGAGGTAAAAGTGCCAAAGACTCCACACTGATCATGTGGCACTGAGTTTGTGGGGACACCAGGAGACCACAGTCTAGGATGAGCTGCTTCTGTGATACAGCACTGCACATAGCTGTGCAACCTTCCAAGTCAGATTCCTGTCCAGAGTCCCCTACATGGACCAGAAACCTTTAACTCCACTCACACATCATACTTTTTGCTTCTCGCTCAAAAGAATGAATGAAATCAGAATGAATGATCTTGATTGGTGTCTGCTCTGAAGTGAGTTATACTTAAACCTGTTACATTTCAGAAGGCAACCTTCCTTTGCCGAACAAGTGGGATGTGTAATGTTGGCTAACGTCATATAAGGATTCTCACTATAAAAGTTGTGCTACCCAGTCAATGATGTCCATAGAACTAGAGTCAACTGAGACACAAATTGGACCAGACCCACTCGCTGTAATCATTTCTGCCCAAAGGAAATAAAATAAAGCCTCAGAGTCCCTTCTCTTTATGGAGCCTCTTGAATCTACATGTCTGCTCTTCTACCTTCCTACGTAAGAATCACAAGAGTGGGAGCAAATCTTACAAAATTATTGAAAAGGTTCACCTTCCAAGGTCACAAACATACTTGGTTGTGTAAAGTTGAAAATAACTCTTCAGCCCATTTTTTGATGGGGTTATTAACTTTATACTTGTTGAATTTTGTCAGCTCTTTGTATATCTTTGTGATCAGTCCTTTATCATTAGTACTGTGTGCAAAATATTTCTCCCAATCAATGGGGTGTCGCTTTGTTTTGTGTATTATCTCTTTTACTGTACAGAAGCTCTTCCATTTGATGTAGCCCCAACTGTTTATCATTTCCTTCTCTTTCCTTTGTTTATTGCTGCTTTATTTACAATGGTGAAGATGTGGAATCAACCCAAATGCCCAAAAATAGATGACTGCATCAAGAAGACGTAGTACATATCCACAATGAAATAATACTCAGCAATCAAAAAAAAAGATAAACTCATGCCTTTTGCAACAACATGGTAGAGCTGGAAGGGAGTATCTGTAGTGAAATAAGCCAGAAA